AGACTTGCAAGGTCGAATTCGAGTCATGGTAGTGGGAGCGGGGAGGAAACATTTAGGAACTAGAGGAAAGTTGTATTTCTCATCGTTGTTACACTCAGCTTTTCAATGAGGAAGCCACACCCCCGGAGACGAGGAGGGGCCCTTGGCTTTGACCTCCAGGCCATCGTGTCTTGCTTTAAAACGTCCTCTTTCTGGAGGTCTTTCTTGTTCAACTTGCCCGTGACCCTAAATACCCGACGGAAAGGCTCAGGCTGCAGAGCAGGCCTGTGAGTTCTCAGGCCTTTGTAGACTGCCCGTCCTGCTCCATTCCCTTCTTAAGGTGAAGCCATCCATCCACCCACCCACCCCTTCGTCTCCTTGTACAGAGGCTACCGATTGCACACCCGACTCTCAGGGACTCTCAGGGCTTCGATTGTAAGGATGCAGGAAGATGGGAAGCAAGCCTGCGTATGGTTAGTGAGCACACACAGGGAGGCACAAGATCAACGGCAGGTTTCTCCGGCAGGCTTACGTGTCAGAGCTAAGCAATCAGTCTGACGGTACCCCTGATTCATGGGGGGCTGTCAGGGCAGGAAACATGAAAGGCAAAAAGAGGACAGGGTTCCTGAGGGGGACGAGAAGGCAGTGTGTGTGTATGGTGTGTGTTTACAGACAGACAGGAGGGTGGAGGTAAGGAGGCCAAGAAGGTCCAAGAAGGAAAGACTTAACTGATGTTTTTTGCTTCCATCTGAGTATTCTTCGTTCTGTCTTGGTATCAGGCAACAGGGCTGCAAAGGGCCACACTGGCCCAGTCCCCACTCTGTTCTCAGAAGAACCTTTACTCACTGTGATAGTTACACAATCTGTTGTCAATTTGAAACTTGTGAGTGAAGGTGTGGAGTTTAGCTTGACAATCAGGTCACAGCTTGATGACCTCATTTTGAGGCACTAAGGAGATAAATCGCTTGATGGAGGCAGGGAACATGCTCACTCCCTGGGAGACATTGCAGCTAACAAGGCACATGCAGCTATGCTAGTGCCCTGAGCTGGAGGAGCCATGTGGAAACACTTGTTGGCTCTGAGACGCTTACAACACCACTGGATCCACAAGACTTCCCACCCACTGGCCTGTGATCTTCCTGCATTCGGCGTCATTGCATGTGTTGCATGAGTCTGAAGAGGACTCTGTAGATTGGTATTGGACAAATGAGGTAATATCGGACTTGTGGACTTGATCTGGACTGGGCTGGAATGTTTTCTTAATGTACAATTACTCTTTATATAAATCTCTTTCTTATACACATATGCATGTTTATGAATTTGTTTCTCTAGTCTACCCGGATTGACACACTCAGTGAGCGTGCTTGTGAGGCCCTGGACTCACACCAAGGTCAAAGTGAACAAACAGTCACATAAGGGTCGCCCCTGCTGCACACTCTCCCGGAAGGCCTTGTTGCCTACACTGGGCACTTTTCTTAAGATTGGACTCTCAGAAGGAAAAGGTTTGTCTCTTAACATGATGGTATGTTACCCTCTGTGAAAGATGTCTGTACATAACCTTGGCTGGTAGAAGCTCACATCAATAATAAAGTAATAACAAATATTGTTAATAAAAATAAAACCCGGTCATTACAGAATTAAAAATTTTTTTCAACAATAAGATAACACATGCTCTTCCAATAAAGTTTGATAGATGTGGAAGAGTAGGGGAAAACAAAGCAGCCCAAATTATACCTCTTAAAAGAACTGCCATTTAAGTTTTTGAGCCCCCACCCCCTTAGAGTCTATTGTACTCTAAGGATCCCTGTTGACAGTGTGAGATAGATATTGGGCTGCCAACTTCAAGATCAGCAGTTCAAACCCACCATCTGCTCCATGGGAGAAAGACGAGGCTCCTGTAAAGATCGATAGTCTCAGAAACCCCACGGAGCAGTTCTCTTTTATCTCATGGGTCACTGTGAGTCGATAGCAGTGGATTTTTGGGGGGTGGGTGGAGGAGGTATCGTACTGTGCATAGGTTTAAAAAAAGAGAATTGATCACATGCATATGCAACTTTGAAGTCTTCTATTTTCTGAAGATCAATTTAGCCTTTAATTATAGTAGCTAACTTGAGACTTGTGACTAACAAAATGTGCTGTTATTTGCTTTACGGTGTTCATTTTCTGCCTCTGCTTGAATAGTTGTATTTGTGTGTTTTACTGTCAGTCACTTCAAGTCCTCACCGGAAATCCGTTGGTCTTCTCAGTCCCCCACGATGACAAGGTCATGGGGTTCACTCACAGAGGCACAGATGGGGGTGCCCAGGAGCACCGAGGTGTCTGCAGGCACACCGACCTGGTGCTGGGCTCTTCTGGGTGTCCATAGGAGACAGGCTGATAGGACAAAGTGAAGCAGGCATTCCTCAAGGAAGCAGGAATTCCCAGGAAGAGAGAGTGTAAGACGGAGGGACCTGGAAGGGGAAGAGAGGACGTGGGAGAAAGAGTAGCTCTCGAGGGCAACCGAAAGCCACTCCTGGCATATGGGAAAGAACCTAGCCTTTGCAGGCACATGGCCGCTGGGAGCTTGGGGCAAGTCACATGATCTCTCTCCCGGAGCTTTAAATGAGGACAATAGCACACCCTTCACAAGCTTGGCGTGAGGATTAAATAAGACAGCATATGTGAAGCACCTGGCATATAGAAGGTGTGAGGGGAAAGGAGGAGCTATGTATAGTCACATCTAGAAGCTTTGGTCAGGGGTGAAGCCAACGGCTTGAGGTATTTAAAGGTCAACTGAAGGGGCTTTGGAATATTATGGAAATGCAATGCAATGAAGCATGCTTTCTCCCATGGCTAGACCCCACTTAAATGAAGGGTGAAGGATTCCAACAGTCAATGTTCTCAACTACTAACTGACAGGTTGGAAGTTCAAGTCCACCCAGAAGCATCTTGGAAGAAAGGCTTGACAATCTACTTCTGGAAAAAGCAAAACAAAACAACTTCAGTGTGTTAGGCAGGGTTCTCTAGAGAAACAAAACCAAGCCACTTATGAATATATATATATAAAGATAGGTTTATACAGCGAGAAGGAATACAACAGCTAATTAGTCCACACAGCAGCACAGAAGACTCAGTTCAACTCACTTCTGTGGAACGGCTAATACACTGGAAGTCCTTCAACTCATGTGGGCTGCCTGCTCCAAGGCCAAGGAAGCAGACAGCAGAGTCCTCCCTTGGGCAAGGCAGGCAGAGTCTGCCCACTGGCAGCAGACATCAGGGTGGGTCAGCAACATCAGAAGCTTGGAAGCTTAGTGAAGCAGGCCCAAATAGGATATTGAACTTAACAATGCCAGGCAATAGGATCCACCAGTTTCCAGCTTTGCCGATGTACACACCAGCAGGGTGGCGAAGCAGGTCTCAAGCTCTAGTGACAATATCCATGACCCACAGGTTGGCTTCTCTATAGGTAGTGTAGCTCACAGGTGGAGGCAGAGAACAGCTAAAGCAGCAGCACTCTGGTCTGATCACCAGAGAGCAGGGTGGGGGTGGGGGACTTGCAGAGCCATTTATCTCTTTGCCCTCCAATCGAACTGCAACCTGATTAATCCCACATGCTCCTATTGGACAGATTGGCATAATAAACCTATCACACTCAGCCACTTAAAACCCTAGAAAGAATAGTTTTATTCACCTCAAGTTAACAGAAAACCTTTTTTCTTTGTCTAAATGAATGTACTTACATCTGGGTGTTTTGGTCGATGTGAAATAAATGGCTTGGATATTTGAGGGTCAGCGGAAGGAGCTTTGGGAACGCCCACAAAGTGACTGTTACACAGGTAGCTATGGAAGAAGCTGTATCCACAAGAGATGAAGTGAGGACGCTCAAAAAGATACTCACAGTGGCAGTTGCTGAGATGTACAGGGGCATCTACCTGTCCAGGGGTACCTGCCCTGTATACCACTTACTCCTCGGGAGAAGTCAGCCACTCCAATAAATACTAAAACTCTAAGGACCCTCCCCTCTGGGGAAGTGCAAATGTGCAGGAGGATGAGGAGAAGGGGGCTGTGGAAGGCCATGCCTGTCCGGGGAGGAGGGCTCTTCTCTTACAGTGGTGGATTGCGGCATCAGCGTCTTGAATGGGGACCTCTTCCCTTCTCCCTCCCCTCAGGGAACAGTCCTCCCTCTGAACCCTCTCTTTCTGGTGCCTCCTCAGCGCTGGCCCCTGGTGAGGTGCCCCAGGCTCCGTCCTTTCCCTCCATCACGCCCTTAATCCAGCCCACGTAGCTGAGCACTTTGGTGTAGAAGCCATACCCCTTGCCACACCCGATGCCCCAGGATACGATGCCTGTGGCCACCCATCGATGGGCACAATCATCCCACACCACGAAGACACTCCCACTGTCCCCCTGGCAGACGCTCTGAGGCTCCATCTCATCCCCCACACAGAACATGTTGTCAGAAAACACCTCAGCCCGCCGCCTCTCCTGGAGCCAGGCCGCACAGGCCTCCCTTCGGCCGACGGGCAACCTTGAGTATTTCAGCTCAGGAGTCAACCAGCCCATCTCCATGCCAAACCCACTGACATAGCCCGACAGGCCACTGAGGTAGAGGCTCTCTTTGTCGGGCAGACAGACTGGGAGGACGTGGGGGCCCAGGGCCACTGGGCGCTGGAGCTCCAGGAGAGCAATGTCCCCGTCGAAGTTGTGGGACTCCTTCTGACGGTAGTCTGGGTGCACGTAGACACAGCGGACTGGGTGGTGCCCCAGTTTCAGCATCTCGTCTATGTTCGTGTGGCCCAAGAACACATGCACGCTCCGGTTCTTCCCGGGGAAGAGGCTGTCCTTGGGGTAGATGGTGTGGGCAGCCGTGAGGACCCATCTGTCACCCAGCAGGGCCCCGCCTCCGCGGCCGTGGATACTGGTGAAAGCTTGCCAGGGGAAGTTACCCAACTGAGCTCTGGAGGAAGCAAAGGCCTTCTGGTTCTGGGTGATGGGAGTGACTGGCCGTCCACACACTGGAGGGAGGGAGGGAGGGGGGAAAGATGCATTTATTGAAGGCCCTCTCCTGTGTGGTGCTGTCTGGGCAGGTGGCGCAAGGAGGGTCCCAGGTCTGGCTCTGCACCGAGTCAGTCAGAAGGACTTGACGCCCTCATGCAGACTCACAAGTGTGCTCCAATACGGACATGAGCAGCCAAGCAAGCTAGACCGGCCAAGGGCGTATGTCCTGGCGGGAACTCAGGACAGTGAACTCAGTGGTGGGGAGCACAGAGGAAGACAGGCTTAGGGTGGGCCCGGCTGGGCGTCCCCTCCTGACTCCTTCCTCACCTTGAAGGTGCTCTGTCACACAATTGGGTGCCCCAGCCCTGGACAAAATCAAGCAGTAGGTAGCGTGTGCTTCTGTTTCTGTGTCATTGCCTCCTTCACAGTCTCTCCTGCAGCAGCCCACCCTCCTCCCACTCCCAAAGCACCGAGAATCTCCACGCCGCCTTCAGAGCCTTCGATGGACGGCGAGTAAAGTCAGCAGCTCACTTAGACTCAGTTAGGAAGGCAATGATGACTTAAAAAAGCAATAAAAAAATGGTGCAAATGAACCCTCATCGCTTACTTGGGGGGAGGAGGGGGAAGATGCAAAATAGCTCAGCTGCTGTGGAAAACCATCGGGCCGTTTCTGAAGAAGTTAAACACGGAGTTAGCCGACACATGGCCCAACAAGTCCACTCCTAGGTATATATATTAAAAACAAACAAACCAACCCAAATCCTCCGACGCTGGGTCGATTAGACTCATGCTGAGCCCGTGTGTGTCAGAGTAGAATCGGGCTCCATAGCATTCTCAGTGGCTGAAGCTGATCACCAGACCGCTGTGCCGAGGTGCGGCTGGGTGGATTTGAACTGCCAGCCTTTGGGTTAGCAGTTGAGTTTAGACAATTTGGAGCACCTAGGCACTTTCCTCGGTACATGCAAGCAGGTGCCTGGTAGTAGTGTTCACTTAACTGGGAGTGGAAACAGTCTCAAGGTCCATCAACCGATGAAAGGACAAACAGTGAAATCTATCCAGCCCGTGGAATATTACTCAGCCGTTAAAAAGGAACAAGGTATTGCTACGTGCTGCAAGGTAGAGGAACCTTAAAAACACTCTTCTGAGGGAAAGAAGCCAGTCACAAGCAGACAGATATTGTCTGATGCCACTTATGTGCAATGTGTAGAAGAGGCAAACCCCAAAAGACAGAGGGTGGTTGGCCAGGGGCTGGAGGAGGGGAGAATTGGAGCCACAGGGGTTCTTTTGGGGGTGATGGGAATATTCTGGAATTAGTTAGTGGTGATGGGTTCCCAATGGCAACTGCACTAAACAACACTGAATCGTACACTTTGAAGTAGTTATAGCGATGGAGTTTGTGTGATATCAATTTTATCTCCAGTGACATAGGTTTTTGCTTTTGTCTTTTAAGATGAACTTTCGGGTACTGTGGCATCTAGGTCGGGGAAAACTTTGGAAGTAAAGAAGCTGTCTCTGCTTCCTTCAAGAGACTTCCTCTCACTTCATCTCTCGTCCCTCTGCTCGCTCACCTGTTGAGCTGATTAGCTTCCTGCTTTCTCTCACTTTCTCAGATAGCTCTTTCTCCTCGAAGAACAAAAAACGCCTTGCCTCTCTTTCTCCGGCCCTTCTTAACCCCTCTTTTTTTTCTCTCCTGCCTAGATCTCCCCTTTCTACACCAGGTTCTTCTTCTAACAGCCTCTCCCTCCCCCCTCCCTTCTCAGACCCCCCTCCCCCCCTGCCCTGTCCAGTTTGTTTGGACCATGGTCGGGAAGACAGAGATGGCAGGTCACTACTCACCAGGTACATGCAGAGGAGCCTCCTGCCGCGTCCGTCTGTCTGCGCAGGTGCCCTGGGTTGTGCAGGTGAGTGTCCCTGCCAGGGAAATGAGGAACAGCAAAGGAAAAATGATTCAGAGATGGACCTAAGGAGTAGGAGCCCATGGGGCTTCGGAACTTTTGGGGGTAAGAGTGTGGCCGTGTGAGGGGGCACATCCACAGGTGGAGACTCACCTGCTGGCATCTCCTGATAATCCAGTGCCTGGCAATGGCCCTGGACCTTGGAGGAGCTGGTTCGAGGTGTGTTGATGGCCTTGGAGCTCCCATGGGCTTGGCTGATAGGCAGACTATCCCCCACACCGACAGGGAAACAGTAGTCATTAGGACCTAGGACAGAAATGCTGACTGGCAAGCCAGGGGCTGGGTCTGCCTCTCCCCATCTGCCATATTTATCTTGGCTTGCACAGTGCTTTCTTTAAAAAAAAAAAGGCAAAATATTTTAACTTCTTCATTTGTCAGATTGTCAATGCTCAGAAAGTTTGAAAATAATCTGGTAAGTAGGGCATGGAGGCGGCGGGGAGAGGGAAGTCCCTTCATACGTGGTCGGGAGGAGCGAAGATTAGTAAATACATCAGGATGCATTCATGAAGGGATGTTATCTGGTCACTAAAATTGAGGTCACGCTAATCGTACTTACAAGGGATAATCCCTAACATACAACACTGAGTGAAAATGGCAAGTTCAGAACATTGTGTACAGTGTGTAACACACACACACACACACACTATTTATGTGAATGACACAAAATGTCTTTGTCACAATGCTCAGGAAATGGAGAAGGGGATTATTTTTGAAAAGGGGACTAAGCGTTAGAGATCAACCTGAAAAAACTCCCATATTGTCTGTTTGTTCAAAATGATTATGTACATGTACGTGTAATGTACATCATGTACATGCTTTTAACAATAATGTTTTTAGAAATTATTATGTACAAGTATTATCTTTAAGAATAAAACTGAGTCACCATTTGAAAACCGGCAACTTCACATATGATTCTGGCCTACACTAGGCCTGTTAGGGGTGATGGATCTACTCAATGTGCTGGAGCTGAGCAGCAGGGCTCCCCCCATCCGCCCACCCCCCTTAATGGGGCTATTCATTCAGCAGGCGCAGAGCTGGTCAGGATGGGATCCTGCCTAGGGATCCCTGAACCCCTAGTCTCAGTCATCAATCAAGCTTACACAGGGACCATGGCTGGGGGAGGGGTTGCTCGCCACGCAATCCTGGGAGGGGCACTTACTCACGGCTTGGTAGATGGCCAGGAAACCCCTGTAGGGGCCGGTAGCCCTGTCCTCTGAAGATGCATCTGTGTGGAAGGCCAGCCTCAACCTTCTCCCAGAGGACACAAACTCCCTCTGGCCAGGAGGGCTGCCCAGCGGGGAACCCTGGTGCCCACAGAGCCGGCTCGGAACAGTCCCGTTGACTGTGATCTGAAAAGGGAGGGGTGGTGTGAGGGGGCAGGCAGGGGTGGGGTAAATGCTGTCTCACAGGCAGTCAAAGGGTCACATCCTATGTATGAGCTTCAGTTCCCTCTGGAGGCTCGTCTCCCTGGGGGAGACGAAGTTGTGTTAGTCTGGGGCTCAGAAGTTGTGTTAGTCCAGGTAGACTAGAGAAGCAAATCCAGGGAGACTCATATGTGGATAAGAAAGAGCTTTAGAGACAAGAGGAGTTGAATATTGAGAAAACATCCCAGCCCAGTCCAGATCAAGTCCCTAAGTCCGATATAGCCCATATGTCTGATACCAATCTATAAAGTCCTCTTCAGACTCACGAAACAGATGCAGTGATGCCGAATGCAGGAAGATCACAGGCCAGTTGGGTGCAAAGTCTTGTGGATCCAGTGGTGGTGGAAGCATCTCAGCACTGGCAGGGGTCTCCACATGGCTTCTCCCACTCCAGAGGCCTGACTCCATCAGCCTCTCTCCATGTGTCTTCTCCACAGGGATGTCCCGCAGGAAGTGAGTCAAGAGAGAGCGTGTCTCTCGCCTCCAAGGAGGAATACAAGAGTTCCCAGCATCCTCAGGAGAAGGCCATGCCCACACAGAAGCCTCATTGGCTATCACCTGATTGACAGGCTAGACTCCACCCCTTCACCCTGAATCCTCTCAAATTGGCAAATGATTATATAACCACCACAGAAGTCCTGCTCTGTGAAGGCTCCCTCAAGTAGCTTGCTACTCCGTTACTGGCCGCTGCCTCACACCTAGAATATAAAGCCTACCGGTTTTGCTTTAAGAAGCTCCTGGTGACCCCCAGGGCTCTTCCAACAGTCCAGCAAATGAGGAGCTCTAAGAAGGCAGAGACTGTCTCCTTGCCTCTGGACGGAGTGCCTTGTGTTTACAGCACCCGTGTTTTGAGTCGATGATGAACATACAGAAGTCTGTCCCCTCTGGATGGCTCTCGTATCCATCCCCCAACTCCCACCATCACCTTCCATGTGCTAAGCAGCTTTCCAGGGAGAATCTCTGGAAGATCGAAGCCTCTGGGGCTCCTGGCCTTTCCTCTATTTATTTTCGAGGGCAGGGCTGGGGGTAGTCCCTCTTTCCTCCACGTCTGTCAATGCGGTCCTCACAGAGGGCAAGCATCTCCGAGCACAGATAGACACAGGATGGTGCACTGCTAATGGCTTAACGTAGGTTCTTAAAGCAGGCTCTCTGTCTCAATCTCCTGACTGCGTGCCCTTGCTTCAATCCCTTCCTGTGACTCTGAGCCTCCAGGAAGGGCAGCTCGCAAGGCATTCTCTGGCCTCCGCTGCATGGCTGCTCTCCACTCCAGGCATGTGGCTCCCTGCCCAACTCGCTCATTTGTGACTTGATATTAAGCCACATACCGTGGGTTCTTCCCGTTCTTCATTCCCGTATCCTCTCCGATCTCATTTCCTTAAGACTCAGTGCAGCCCGGCTCACTGTGATCACATCAGCTGGGCACAAGTTGGCATGAAGACGATTTCTCAATGCCCCAGTCGCCTTGCGGGGGGCGTGTCCCAGGAGGATTCATTTCCTTGGAGCATCAACAGACCTAACGCCCTTCCGGGTAGGAAGTCTGTATAGGGCAGGAAGCACGCTGCGTATAGGAAAATATTATTTAACCGATGTACTCAGTTGTAAAACCCTCCCGTTAAAAAAAAGACCCTCATGAATTGCTCTTCAACACAACAGCAAAACAAAAGGGCAATCAGGGTGACTGCAAACCCAAACAAGCAGTGTCCGTCGGAGTTGTTCTGACCGACGGTGGCACCCTATCTCTCAGTGTCCGAGTACGCTTCTTGGCTTCGGTTTTAATTTAATTTTCAGAATTTATGTTCGCTGCTGTTGCGCACGTGCACAACGGAGCACGCGCCGACCTGCCGTGTCCTCGCGGAACTCACTTTTGTGGGTTGTACAGATCCTTCTCCCCTCCTTCAAGGGGCCATTCCTCTCGTCTCAGAGGAACGGCCGCCCCTCAAGTTTCCTGCCGTGCCGTCCCAGTAGCTCTTGTCTGAGTCTCTGAGGCCGTCTTCAAAGAGCCTTGGTCAAGGCAGACCTTCTCGACTCCTCACAGGGTTTTCGACGGCTGAGTTTTCTAAGGCCGATGGCCAGGCCTTTCTTCCAAGTCCCCCTTAAATCCCCAACCCTTTGGTTGGCAGCTGAGCGAGCTGTTTGCACAGCCCAGGGGCTCCAAATATGAGAGTTGACCATGAGAGACGAAGGCATGGGCTTCTGGCCCCACGGAGGCCTGGTAAAGGGAGTCTCTGGTGGAAAGGAGACGGGAACGTCCAGGGTGTTGGGGGGCTTAGAGAGCAAGCGCCTCTCAGGCGGAGGCAAAGAAGCTGATTGGGATGTACTGGGGTGTCGCAATACAAAGGAAGATGGATAGGTTGAGCTTTGCGCTTGATTATGTTGGCAGGAGGTTCACACTCTTGACTAAGAGTTTGGGGGCGATTAGTTACAGAGAGAACGAAGCACACTAAAACGCCAAACAAAAACAAGACGTGCCAGAGGCCACCAGGCCATCATCAGTCCTGGGAAAACCAGAAGTTGGAGCCCGGTGCACGGTGTGCTGTACTGGGGGCAGCATTTTACAGTCTTAATAATGAAAGCAATACATATAGATTTGACTGGATGCGATGACGGAGGTGATGGGGCAGGGGGAGTAAGGTCCTTAGACCAGCGAGCTCAAGCTGGTGGTCTTCCATAGTGTGGAGTTAGTAGATCATAGCCAAAAATGGAATACAGCAACAGAATAAGCATGTTGTTTCAGTATATGAAGCAACACGGATCGTCAATAATTGTTCCTGGGGGAGCGGCACTCAGGGATAGGGAAGGATAGGTCAGAAGACCGCTGTTTTGTTTAGGATAATGCTTGTAGCACTACGGTTTTTGAAACCTACGTATGTGTATTAGTTTGAGGCACATAAAGTTGACAAGGAAACATAAAGCACTGATTTTAAAGTGTCCTTATTCTGAATTATGCCCGGGCCAGAAAAAGTCTTAGCAGAGCGCCTCTAAGGTTAATGTAAAGAGCCCTGGTGGCCTCGTGGGTTACATGTTGGGCTTCTCTCCCCAAGGTCAGCAGTTTGGAACTGCCGGCTGCTCCAAGGGAGTTAGATGAGGCTTTCTGCTCCCGTAAAGAGTGACAGTCTTGGGACCTCAAAAGGGCAGTTCTACTCTTCCCTCAAGGGCCACTAGAGCAGTGTAAGTCCCTGCCTTTTTGCTCTATGGATTTGCAGTATGTGTGTGTGGTGTGGTGTGGTGTGGTGTGGTGTGTGTGTGAGTGAGTGTGTGTGTGTGTGTCAGTTCAGAAGCCGGGGACCGTCCTGGTTCTCTCTCCTTTGTGTTGTCGTGTGTCTGGGTGGTGAGCACCCACCAGACTCTCCTGAAAGTCTGTGCTCTGGCCCCAGAGCCCCTGCCTGAGGCTCTTCACCCACCCTCTTTGATTCCTCCTTTGCGGTGGGGGTGGAGGCCCCTCCATCCACCCCAGGGGAAGCTCCAGCTAGGGGTTCCCTCCCGAACACCCCTCCAGGGACCCCACTCCAGCTCACGGTGACCGAGTCCTGCTTGCAGGCCCGGGACGGCGCCAGCTCGAAGTCCTGGAAGACGAGTCTCACAACAAAGCCCTCTGGAGCTTCGATGTCGGCGCTGCTGGCTTGGCCTCGGGCATACGGCTCTGGGTAGCCGGGGGATGTCAGCTTCTGGGGTCGCGGTTGGGCCAAGAGGACGGAGCCCAGCATGGGGCAAGCCTGGAGGGCTCCACAGAGGAGCAGCCACCACCTGTGAGGAGGCGAGGGCAGGATGGGGCCACATGGATGTGGTTTGGGGCCCGTGGAAATGCGAGGCACGGGGCGGGCAGTGCTTAAGGGAAGGAGGCCTGGCCACAGCAGGACTCACGAGTCCTGGCCTCAGACCTGCAGCTGTGGGCACTGCCTTTGTCTATTTGGTGGTCGGTCCTCCTCATCCCAGTATCCCCGCTCAAAGTTAGGACTATTGCTTACTTCCATGAAGGGTCACCCCCAGCACAGGGGCTGCTCTCTGCTTCAGCAAACCCCACTTCCTCCCTGGGATCTGAGAGGAGCAAGGGCAGTCCAAGTGGGGGGCATTGAAGACATCTTCCTCCTGACCACCCCAGGGCAGGCTGCTGGACATTACAAGAGAGTTTCGATTCCAGTATGCGTGTGCGCGTGTGCGCGTCCCTCCCACCATCTCCTCTCCCTACCCTTCTCCTCCTCCCCCAGGCCACTTCACGGAACATAGTACACTCACATCTTGCCCGGGCAGCTGGCAGGCAGGTGTCTCCCCAGAGAGAGTTTTCTCACTCTAGGACGGGGATCTGAGGCCTGAGGCAAGAGTACTTGGCCTAGGCCAGGCCACAGGAGGTGGGGCCCTAGGAGGAGGCCCTTCAGGGAGGAGGGAGAAGTTACTGGAAATGAGTTAAGTAACATGCTTTCCTTTTTGGAATTCTCAGGGTTGGGTGCCACCTGCTGTCTCACTCCGGAATAGCTTGCTGCTGTCAGGTGCCTTGCCATCCTCCTAGGATTCCTAGCAATCCTCCATGCCCCGCAGGGGAGATGCCCAGCCACCCTCATGATCGTCATGTTGGCGCTCCCTTCTGCAGGCCCCGTGTCAGCCCCTCGTCTTGCGAGCCTTCCTCTTTTTTGATGCCCCTCCACTTTACCAAGCACGATGCCCTTCTCCAGGGATCGTTCTCTCCTGACACCGTGTTCCACGCACGTGACATGAAGCCTTGCCCTTCTCAGTTGCGAGGAGCATCCTGGTTGGGCTTCTTCCAAGACAGAAGTGCTGGTTCTGGCAGTCCCTGCTGCTTCCAGTCTGCTTCACCAGCACCGCCGTTCAAAGGCATCGGTTCTTCTTCGCTTTTCTTATTCAGTGTCCGACTTTCACGTGCATATGATAGGAGTTAACTGAAAATACCACGGCTTGGGTCAGGCACGCCTTAGTCTTCAAAGGGGCAGCCTTGCTTCAGCATTTTAAAGGGAACTTGTGCTGCAGATTTGCTCAGTGCAATATATATATATTTTCAATTGTAGAACATATTCTTTTTTTAATCATTTTATTAGGGGCTCATCCAACTCTTATCACAATCCATACAGACATCAATTGTGTACAGCACATTTGTACATTCATTGCCCTCATCGTTCTCAAAACATTTGCTCTCCACTTAAGCCCCTGACATCAGCTCATTTTCCCCCCTTCCTCCCGGCTTCCCCCTCCCTCATGAACCTTTGAGGATTTATAAATTACTATGATTTTGTCATATCTTGCCCTGTCCGACGTCTCCCTTCACCCACTTTTATGTTGCCCGTCCCCCAGGGAGGAGGTTATATGTAGATCCTTGTAACATTGTTTGATTTCCTGACTACTGTGTCCGCGAGCACTCCTTGTGGATCCAAGCAAGATGAAATCCTTGACGTCCGTTTATTCTCCGTTGATCGTGGTGCTGTTTCTTGGTCCAATTGCGGGGATTGGGGTATTTCCCCAGTGAGTTGTAATCCATACTGAAGGTAGCTGGATTTGATCTTCATCGGCAGAGCTTCAAGTCCTCTGCTTTCAGCAAGTAAGGTGCCTGCATGTCACAGGTTGTTAACAAGCCCTCCTCCCCTCCGGACGCCACATTCTTCTGCATAGAGTCCAGCTCCTGGCATCATCTGCTCACAGGACAGATTGAATAAGTGCGGTGAAAGGATACACCGCCGACCAACACCTTTTCTGATCTCCAACCACCCAGTATCCTGTGCTCTATTAAACTCTTGGTCCATGTACAGGTTCCACCTGAGTACCGTGAAATGTTCTGGAATTCCTATTCTTCTCATGCTTTCCATGGTTTATTATGATCAACGTAGTCGGATGCCTTTGTATAGTCAACAAGACATATGTAAACATCTTTCTGGTATCCTCTGCTTACAGACAAGATCCATCTGACATCATCCCTGTCCTTTATTTCCTGGATCCAGGTGAGTTCCTGTCGATATGCTGCTGCTGCAATCATTGCTGAACGATCTTCAGCAAAACCTAATTTGCATGTGATATCAGTGACATGGTTTGATACATTCTGCCTTCTGTTGGGATGGGTACAAAGACGAATCTCTTCCAATCACTCAGCCAGGTCTTCCAAATTCCTTGGCATCGGTGAGCGAGTGAGGAGCGAGTGAGCTAGCCCACCACCATTTAGAGGACTGACCACTTCTGAAGTCAGGAGTGAGAGGACATTGACTCTTGATTCTTTGTGTGCCATTACACATGAACTTTTATCGTGTGTGTGAACCACACATGGTAGGCTTCATGCGTGCTGGCTGCCTGTCTCCTGGGGCCATAGCCCTCCACTCTGCCCTCCCCCGCTTAATTGGGTCACCTGCCTGGCTCTGGTGGCAATGGAGCTGGTGACCTGTTAGCTTAAGCTTCTCATTCTTTCTTTCTCCTCTCCACCGAGCAGGAATGGGGGCCACTCACTTAGGTGGACTTTTGAATCCTGCCCACAACTCCTGGCAACTGTTCATCCATCAGAAGCCCCATAGTTCTCTTCACTCTTGATCTCTCCAGTCTGCTGACCACAAAAGCAGCCACATGCGTGCAATGGCTCCACACGCCGGGGCTCCGGGGCCCACCTCGTCCTTCAACTGGTGTTTTTGAACGCTTACGGGCACCAGACTGAGCATTCCTGTAAGGCAGGAATGATGCTACTTTGATCAGCACCACTCCACGGATGGCCAATGTAGCGCTTCTCTGGCCATAAAATATGTGCGGTCAGATCTTAAATATAGGGGTAGAAATAGCCTCTTGGCGACCTCTTCCCTTCCTCCCCACTCTCCACCCTACAATCACTCTGCGGAGGCTTTTCTTGCTGGCCCTCTTGGGGACGTGACTGCTGCCCTGTCCCCTTCTCCTTCAGGATCCTCCCCTCCCCCATAAAGGGCGACAAAATGGATACAGCTGCCACATCGCTCTCGAATAACAGAAGGAGAAGCTCTAACGATGCCACACAAACGAACGATATGAAACAAAGTGACGCGCTTCTGTAATGTTTCGTAATTCTGTGACAGCAATTAGCAACTCCCTCCAGGACGGTCTCTCGGGTCATCCCCTTCCCAGGTGAACTGGCTCTTGCTCAGATGTCACCTCTCTGGGTTCTTTCCTTCCTAGAGCTTCCTCCATCTCTAGGAGTCCAAAGAAGAGCTTGGGGGATAAATCTCCAGCCTCCATCCCCCGTCCTGACTCCCTAATTCAGGGGTCCTCAAACTTTTTAAACAGGGGGCCAGCTCACTGTCCCTCAGACCCGTTGGAGGGCCAGACTATAGTT